TGTTGCCATATAAGGATGCTTTAGTAAACCTAGCAGAAACAGATGTCCCTTACAAAACAAAGAAGCCAATCCTTGTACAAGAGGGTGATGGTTTTATTCAAGACCTATTGGTACCTGCTGTTACAAGCCTAGGATTTTTGATGCTATGAAAGAGGAAACGAAACTATATGTTACTCATTTGAAGCTAAGTCTGTCACGGGTACTCATCAAAATGAAGAGAAAGATAGATTTGGTTGAAGAAGAACACGAGAGTGAACATGAAGAAATCGAAAGTTCTGGTGATGAAAGCGAAGATGAAGAACCAAGAATAAAAGATGTTTTGAGTCATCTTTCCCGAGCAGTGTCGGAAAAGCGTGCTTCTGATTTGCTGCATAGTATGGCCGCGTCCAAAGATATTCTTTTCTGGACTCCCAGCGGACAATAATAATAATAATAATAATAATAATGATATAGTAATACCTTTATTTATTACCTTTGGCAATAAGAATTACGGTAATATTACAATAAAATTCAAAACACTACATATTATATATACATATCAAATTAAGTTAAGTTTAGCACCTCTAGGAATAAACGATTGTTTGTGCCTAACAGTGCGTGATACAGGTATTCTGAGGTGCGCTGGGTTAGTTTCACAAGATCTTAGATTATGGCCATGATCCACTGGCTTGTCTAAAAACCGTTTGCAAGGATGTGCTTCTGATTCTAGGATACGTTTAAATTCTTTCCTCGTCAAATTCTGACGCCTAGTTACAAGTGACTCAACAGTATCCCTAGGGAGACCAATGACATTTAGACATCTATTCTGCACTCTCTGTAGATCTTCTTCGAGGTAAATGGGCAGCCCTCCCCGGACAGGCGAGGCGTATTCTAAAACAGGTCTAATCTTAGTGATGTAAGTTGTAAGACCAATGTCCCTGGGGAGATGGGCTGTTCTATACACCCTAAGATAGTGGATCCGTTTACACGCTTTACTGACAATACTTGAGACATGTGTATTCCACTTGAGATCGTTCTGTACATATACACCTAGAACAATATACAATTACTTCGAAATAAACGCACTATTCCCGTCACAAACATCGCCGAGCTAGTTGAGTATGTGTTACTCCCTCATAACAATGAGGTTACCAAGCCTCGTGCGCTGAATACGTTTCTAGATAGACTTGCAGAGTTAGGAATTGATAAAGGTTTAATCAAGAACAAAAAGTTGTTAAGTGATTTAATAGAAAAGGAAAAAGGCTACCGAAATGTAGAAAATTCTTCCGATAGTGAGAGTAATAATAAGGAGAGTTCATCGGATATTGAAAATCAGGAGGAGGAGGAGGAAGTGGCTTCTGAGAATGGCGTTGAAGCTGAAGGCACCCAAGAGAACGACAACGACACTGAAAACGATAGTAAGGAAACAGAAAGTAGTAGCCCTGAAACGTCCACCACCTTTCACTCTAAAAGTCCCTGTGAACATTGCGAAAACTCTAATGTGTACTCGACATTGATCATCAAATGTTCTAAATGCTTTTGGCACGATAACCACAAGATTTGTCCAATATGCGATCACCAGATCCCCGAGGAGAGAAAACACATCAAAGAGGGCTTTCTTCGGTGTCACGATTGTGGATTAATTACACACAAAAACGCCAGGACGTTGGAAACCAATTTTTATTCACCCTCTAAAGAGGAGAACGAAGAAGAGGTCTAATTTCCATCCCTTCCAAATTGCTGTTTACTTGACTCTTTTTGTCACTGGTTTTCAATGAAGTTTTTAAAACTGTATCTCGTGTCTTGTCAATTTATTTGTCGCGTGTTTTAATTGATCCTTGTTAAGTTATTAATTATTTGTGTTTTTACAATAATAAGTCAAGTTTCTCCCTTGGAGTTTTTACTGTGGAGCCAATTTGTATGCAACTGTGGGCTTGTTAACCCGCATAATTAACTGACTAACAGCGCGTGAATTGACAAGACCATAAGCTCATCAAGCGCTGAGATTTCAATAGAGTGTTTTCACTCACGTGGCCTGCATCTACGCAAATTTATTGAAACAAAAGAAAGCGTTTGCATAAGAAAAGAGTTCAACTCCCAGAGGATTGGTTTGGGACACCAACATGGCGGCCGTTTCATTGTTTTGGGACACCAATATGGCCGCCGTGACGTCATGTGAAAACACTCTATAGTTAATAGTTTCCTCGAGATAGAACGGAGAAAACGCTTTTGTAATGGTGAGTCAAAATTGATATAGAGAGTTTTCAGCTCCACTCTGTGTATGTGTGTGTGTGTGTGTTTTGTTTATATATCCGATTTTTAGCGCTAAACAAGAAGACATGTGTTGCTAGGCGATCGCACCTCTTATTCCTATTTTTATAAATAAACTTTCCACTCATTAGGAACAAGAATGGAGTTTATTTAAGAACCAAAAGAGTTAGGGTTTACTTTAAAACCACCTGTTGTTTTCTATAGAATTTTTATACCCTGCATGCATGCACTTTCTACAGAGTCAAGTAAACAAAGATTGACATTTTTGCTTGATAGGCAGTTTTTCGCTTCGCTGCGCTTCGACCTCGTTTTCATGTTTTCCCCAAAACATTAGTACGATTTCGCATTTACTTAACCTCCTTTTCCCTTCTTTTGAAGCAAAGATTTTTCAGTTAACCTCGGTGTCTTGGTTTTGTTTTTACCGATTTTTGGTGAAAATAATTTAATGATTAAAGATTTTTCATTTAGTATAATCTGCTAAGATGACATGTTCAAAATTTGCACGCTTTTATTTTGAACACATAACAGTTTCTACAATATCCAATCAGAAGACTATAGCAAACAAGATCTAATCAGAAGACTGTAGCAAATAGCTAATTATATAAAAATAACTTTTCTGTTTATAGATTATGATCTCAATATTTTTTTCATGACGTCAACTCCAGGAAATTCTGATGTCACTCGCTCCTTGCCAGCTAAAAATAAACTATGACATCATCCTATCTATTTGACATGCATGACGTCACTGGCATTAATTTAAACTGACATCATCCTATCTTAATGGAATGCATGACGTCATCGGCATTAATTTAAACTATGACATCATCCTATCTTAATGAGATGTATGACGTCATCTGCGTTAATTTATACCACTCAAAAAGTTAATTAAATCCACAAAAAAAACGGCGTAACCGGTGCCTTCCCTACTACTCACGAGGCTTTATCCACTAATATATGCATATGACTGATTTCTCTCGCAATCATTTATAGTAAAAGTTCCTACTATAGTTTATAATTTCTTCTACCCGTAACAACTTTAACTCAGGTGACTGACACAACATCCTCTTACTGACAGAACTTGATGCTCCAGCTCCTCCAAATTTTACTATTTCACATCTATACTCGTACGTAGAAGTTATTAGAAATTGCAACAGCTTTTCGTTGTGTGTGTTTCTTCTTGTCTGTATTAAAACTTATATCAACTACTGCCTTGTCTTGCCTAATAGCATTCTTGATGGTTTTTCAGATTTCAAATTCTCGACCCAGCTAGTTTCAACTGTTGTAGTTGCTGCAATAACTGTCTTTCAGGTGCGTTTTAAATTTCTGGCTGCTGCTGGGATTTTGTACGGAGGCTGCACATTAGATCATGTTTATGTGCTATTAAATTATTATTATTCTTATTCTTATTATTATTATTATTATTATTATTATTATTATTATTATCATTATTATTATTATTATCAATTATTATTATGTATTCGATTTTCTTGAGTGTACAAGCGCAGCGTCCTGGAAATAGTGTGAGCGTTCAATAAGATGAAACAGTTCTACGTCTTCCTTCGAATTCAATTTTCATTATTATTATATTGTTTTCTTTCTTGCTTTCTTTCTATTGTCGAGGGGGGAAGGGGTGAGGGGATTTCACTTTGGGAGAGACACGTGACGCACTAATACAATATGACATAAGAGATTTTGTGGACACATTTTGGCAGTAGCAGTCACACATAACGCACTTGGCACCAGCCAGACATCAAACATCTTTACAGAAGCCTACGCAATCAGTAGTAATTATAATCTTAGAAATGCAACTAAAAAGGTTGCCCTTCCTCTAACCAAAAGAGATTTCCTAAAAACAGTCTAAGTTACAATGGAACCAAGATATGGAATGATTTACCAGAGGAGTTCCGAAGTTGTGAGACTCTCCCTCATTTAAAGCTAAAATCAAATCCCATAGGCCTTAATTAGAACATTAATAGAAAATATGTCTTGATAGCATTTTTATTTTTATGGGTAGTATAAAATTGAACTTAGATCCTATCGCTCATTTTTAGAATACTTAATGTATGGATTATTAGGTTTACAATGTCTGTAGCGTGTACTTTAGATTTTACAATTCCATATTTTGTATTTACTATAATTATTAGTTATCTATTTTTGCACACCAGTTCATTCTAACTGGCTAGCGTGGATAAATAAAGTTGATCTTGGTTATCTTATCTCTTATCTTATCACTCAATATGGTGCGAAACCAGGCTACCAAGCCATGCATGCATATAGGATTTGAAGTTGCCAACAGAATGACAAATAATCAATATAATGAAATGCCTAGAAAATAGGCGCTCGAGAAGCGCGTGTGACTACTGCTGAAGAGTACAATGCATTTTTAACGCATATGAATGCTTTAAAATGTATTGCAACGTTTCTCAATGATTCGTAACACATTTTTAGCCTTTCCCATGAATGCGTGCAACTTCGTCAAATGATGAAAAATTATCAACACATTCTTGGCAATTTTACCATTTTTTTTTCTTTTTTTGCTTGGCGATAGAAATAATAGGGACTTTAAGATCTGGGACGCGACGACTTCTAGAACGCGGTGGCTGATAAAGGACTGAAACTAGAACGTCGTCGTTTGCGCGCGAAAAGTAAAGTTAAGATATCCGTCGCGATGCAAGACGACGCGGCTGCAAACCGCTCTTTATCAGTGTGATTCTTCGGCAATTCTTTCGCAGAAATAGCCATGGCATCATTTAAGAAAGTCCAAGAAATGCTTTGTTTGTGCTTTGTTCGATAGCATCACCTCCACTTCTTCGTTGACGCTTCGGTTTGTCATCGCTTTCATCCGCTGATGAACCTCTTTTCTTCGTCTCTGACAGTTTCTCCATCGCTTTTAGTCTAACATCTTCCGCTTTAGCCCGATCGTATTGAAGTTTTTTGCTAGCTGTTCCCTGTGTTTCCTGTAATTCCGCTTCGCCACTTTCCTCCAACGCGATGATCATATCCAATAGGTTTTCTAGTTCCGTTGGCTCATCGGGAGTAATCCCAGTTGCTTTTTCCTCCGCTAGAAGTTTCTTCTTATGCCTGTAAACAAGGGATTCCCACGTGTTCTCGGACTGATCGCTTATCAACCGTGAATTTCGGCACAGTGTATTTGTTCAAGGTGTCTGCTATTTTTTCCCGCATACTGCTTCTTTGTGTTGACCCTTTCTTAGTTGTGTAGGGATTTACATTGACGACTTCTCTGCATAGAATGGCTTCATGATCATGTGTCCAAAACATTACTGAACTAAAGGGAAGCATAAAAACACACGCAGTTTAATAAAATTAAATTAAATAATACAGGCTTAAAATTGGTTTTTAGCGGCAGATGAACGCAATAAATCGAGAATTGCAACGGTACAAGAGACGAGAAGAGTATGCAGAAGACTCCTGCATTCACTATTTGCAGTTTTAGCTCGTGACTTACTTGCAAGCCTTGCTCGAAGTCGAAGGCGCTGCCGTTTTATAAGCTTCGTACACCTGAAAGAAATTTAAAAATAGTCAAAATCCTTCCATCTCTGCGATCTAAAATGTCGCCAGAAATTACGTCCAATGATCCTAGAAGGCTGATTTTACATGTTTAGAGGAATATATCATCATTTCATTTAAGCACAGGAACAAATATACTCACGTTTTGTACAGAACGCCAAACTTGCAAAACCCACGTTCTCGACGCGACGTGGTGACACCAGGACGACGGCTTAAGCATGCGCAACATTTCTCCTCTTTGAAAATTTACTTCCTCTCGCGTCTTACAGTCGTCGCGTCTCGGATCTTAAAGTCCCTAATAGCGAAAGGTCAACGCGAACGCGGAACACGTAGTCACTCCAACATGTCCTTTTTACAGTGCATTGCAAATAGTCTAGTCTCCTTTGCAGCCGTAAGAAGATTTTCGTAAGACTTTTGATCTTTCGTGACATTTCGTGGGAAGACTCACAAGACCTGAGAGGAGCCTCAGAAACTTATACCTTGACCGCGCTTTGAAGTCGATAAATTGTAACAACAGAAACACCATTTAAATAGAATTTTTAAAGAACAAAAATTCGAAAAATATTCTGTTTCCTTACTACTTTTGTTGCGAATTACGTGTCATTTGCCTGGAAAATGAACATCCGTGGTGAAACATGATCCTGTGAACTTCTTCATTACCTAGCACGTGACCGAAAGTCTACTCCAAAATTTTATTACACAAAGTAACGATTCTGATGTTTTCACAGGAGTTGATTTGGAGAGGAGAAATCAAATGTACAAATGTCCTGGTTTCTGGACTTATTTTGAAGATGAGAAGTAAAGATACGCTTCTTGAGAAATGATGTATTTCATTGCCTTTTCATTCGGTTACACTAGCTATCAAAGCAGACCACGAGGCAGCCGAGCATTTCGTTTGTCATCGAGGACCATCGTCGAAGATTCCAAAAAATGGTTATCTTTGTATGCTGATTGACTCCGAAGTATACTCTATTGTTACTTACTTACTTACTTCCGGATAACTAACTCGCTGCCAATAGTGACACTGGCGCATGCGCAGTAGTCAGAAAAACGTTACAGTTGTTTTCATCGTACTTTTTTTTTACAGCTCTTTGTAGTTGTTCTTTATGTTTGCGAAAGTTACAAAAAGTTGTACGTTGATCAGTCCCTCTACAAGGATCTATATGGTAAGTGAACTATTTTCAATAAACCATGAAGGTTATGACAAATTAAATGTGTTGCTATTGTTACAAGGTTTTAGACGAACGACGTTTATGAAAACCTCGTTCACGTTTCTTCCCAATAATCTTGCGCCGCTTTCATCCCGGCGAAGCTAATAATAAGCCGTATTTCACGCATCTTCCGTGATTTGTTATCATGCAAAGTTAATTTTATTATAAATGTTGACCTCTCCACACGTATCTTTCATTTGAAAACGAATTAGGTTTTTTTCCCTCTCCTTTTCTCAATGGTTTTCCTTGTACACACGCATATATCAAGCCGTTTCTGTTTAAAAACGAGTAAATTTGTGTCCGTATTGCTGGTTTGTAGCTGAAGTCACGGCGGCCATGTTGGTGGACAAAAGCTGAGGCGTTCCCTCTGCTGGGAACTAAACTTCTTTTTTTCAAGCAGATTTGTATTGTTTTGTTGTGAAACATTTCCGCCTTGTCACGTGATTTCAAACCAGTTGAAGTGGCTTCCAATCACCGTAAAATTCTCTCTCTACTCCGAAATGACTGCAAGCATTAGATCCTGTCCTAGCCCGACCCTCTGTTTTGGAATCCTTGTTTTCACAATTCTCCGCGCATAGAGCGGAAGACTGTGTCAACTAGTACACGAGAAAGTCCGTAGCATAAAACTATTGAAATGTAAGCATCTGAGCTTTTTTTAATAATTTTTGGCTTCCCCATCCACGTGTATAAAAATGATGCAAGCAGGAGAAAGCTTTGTTTTCTCATGATGCGACACCCAAGGTTTCTGTAGGTAAGGAAGGCCTGATACTGAGGCTAAAATATATCGAAAATAGTAAAAGACGCAAATATTTAACTGATGACGTCATAATGTCGTCATACGTGGCACTTAATTACTGGCAAACCGTCAAGTTGATGAAGTACTACAAAGCTTTCCAGTTTCATAGCAATGTTGTGGATACTGTTTAGTTCTATAAGATTGCTCTTTGAGCTCTCCCAGGCAAAATAGAGTTAAAAAGATCACGTGTCGGTAGGGCATTTTATCCCAAGCGTTAACCATGCAGATATTGTCGTGTTATCGTTTTCCAAAATCTCCTTTTACCATCTGTCCACACGATGGTGGCGATTTCAAAACTTTCTAATATAGGAGAGCATTTAAAAAGTTGCTTTTTCTATAGCCCTTTTCATCGGATACGTGTGGACGAATGGTTTGTCCGAAGGGAAAAATTTCCGTTTTCAAATAAAGTGTGGATGGGGCCCAAGTTTCGTGAACATAGACATTATTAAAGAAAAAATTACTGTATCTAATATAATTCAATTTATTATATAGACAAGAGTTTTTTGATGGAAAATAGACCACTCGTGAAACTACATCCAGGACTTGAGTGGCGTATTTTCCTTATCCTCACTGGTGAGGATATCAATGACGTCATTTCCCGCTCAAACTGTTGTTTGTGCACATTTTGCCACATGCTAAAACAAAAATGGCGAGCGATTGATTCGTGAAGTTATCTGAAGTTGACATAAAATCTGTCTCTAAGGAGCAGGAGAATGTTAAAACGAAGAAGAAAACTTAATTTGTTTGACTTAAAATTATTCAGGGAGTTCCTCACAAGTGAAGACGAAAGGAGAGAACTTCAAAAAATTCCTGCCGCCAAACCACAGCAGTTCGCGACAAAGTTTGTGCTGGGAGTGAGATGCCAACAAGGTTTTCACTGACATCTACATCTTTCGAAAGTTTACATTTCACTGCCCAGCTGAACTGTGACATTAGCCGCCAGGTTTACTTTTTGGCACAAAATATATGTCAACTTTAAATTAAATTCCAGTCTTTCTGTCCACATTGTATATAAGGATATTACACGGCGGCGCGAAGATATGAATTGTATTTTCGACTCGACTTGTTTTCACGACTCGAAAATAAAATTTATATCTTCCCTCCGCCGTGTAATATCCTCTATTAGGAACCTTACGAAACTACGAAATTATCTTTACACCTAAGTAAAGTGGAGTCTGTGTTGCGATAGCAGATAGTGGTCACGCGCGTCAACAAACCTCTACTCGAGCCCTGCAACTAAAGTTTTACCTTGTTAGCTAGTCCGCAACCATACAAGACCTTAATTTAGCGTGATCTATCTATTTCTAGGCACGTGTCAAGGAGCGTTTGTTTTGTCAGCGATGATAAGTGCCATATTACTGCTGCATTTTATGAAGAGCCATCGGTGAGGGCAAGATTATAGGTTGTATGAATGCAGATTGTCAATAACAACAACAACAACAAGTTTGTTAAGTATTACCATTTCTATACATGGCGTTACCGATTGAAATACAATACCAAAAAAAGAGAGTTAAGGAAATACAAATGCAATTGAATGGTATATGATTTATGATGATGATAATGATGATGATGATGATGTTTCTTGCGTCTTTCAAATGCTTGAAAAACTAAAGTAACAGTTAGCCTAAGTATCCGCGCACAGAGCAGTTGGGGTGGGGGGGAGGATTGAGTGGCGCAGCACAAGCTGTTATTCTGGACTGGGTTAGGGTTTAACCATAAATAAGACATTGATTAATATAAGGCTTTAAATTACTGATTACCCCCAATGGGAGGCTTATTTTTCAGGGGGGGGGGGGCTAATTGGAGATGGGGTTTAAAAAGGGCTATGTCAGCTGGCGAGCATGTGCGCTGAGGTTATGCAAACGACTTTCAACTTTCAAAATTCTATTGTTTTTAACGCGTGACCTTCTCTGTCACCTCCAAGGCTCCGAAATTTACAGAGACGATTGCAAGCGAGTTGGATATGGATAAGGGATATTTTGATAGAATTTACAGAACGTTTCTGGTCTGGTTATGCTAGATCAAGTTCGCTCAATTTCTTCGTCAAAAATAAAAGTGTTAAGACAATTTTACCGTCGTAGTTTTTAGGTAAAAAGGCAGCCATTTAGGGACCGATCGTTTATTTTAGAGGAGGTGGGGGGGCGGTACAATTTCCTAAGAGGCTTGATTTTGGGGGGTCAATTGTGAAAATGCACAAAATGTGAGGGGGGTCGAAATATTAAGACACAGGGCTGGCCTTCTAAGTAAAAGTTGTCAAACTATATTATGATTGAAGCAAATCCACGTTTCCTTCAAAAGTAGACAAAAAATTTGCTTCGGCGGTTCTTTGTCAACCGCACATTGTTATCCGTATAAAGCTTGGCTCAGAAACGTATCAGCTATTTCTATTACCAGGAATGTAGCGTGCATGTACGCACATACGCCTATGCATACAGCTGAAATCTGGAAGAAATATATCGGATTTGTTTAAATTCCTAAAAGCATTTTTATCATTAAATTGGGATAAATATTTTGCATTATATTGGTGTTTTTGTGTTAGGATTTCCTCTAGTCTTTTACTGAGGCGGTAAGTGGAGTGAAATGGATCCGAATGTGAAGCCACAGACCTTGGTTGAGACTTCTGACCAAGTCAACTTCAATTCTATTCTGGAGTTTGTAGCTCTCATAACTTTGTTGACTTATCCTGTGTCAACTTGCACAGCTGAGCGTAGCTTCAGCGGTATGAAGAGACTGCTCCTTTACGA